TCGTAGGTACTGTTGCAGCCTTCAGCCTCACTGAGGTAGAGCTCAGTCATTACTAGTGTTTTGAGTGCAGATGTGTTTAAATGGGATGAATAAAAGTAATTATCCATAAAACACTACCTTCCAAACAAAGCTTAGAAGAAGGGAACTTAGTGAGAATTTATTCAGAGAGACTTTACTCAGACATCAAGTACACACACAGAGTCACACAGAAAAATGCTAAAAATAAAAAAATGGAAATCACATTGTACCATTATTCTGTACTTTCATGAATGGGTAAAACTGTGAGAAAAGGAGCCAAAACTTCATTCTCAGTCATTTTCCATACTTTCTCTTACTGAAAAAGTCTGTTTCAATACCTGAACTTCATCTTCTCATGATAAGACTGAAATCCTAAAACCTCACATGATTTTAATGTAAAATTGAACATACCGCTTAATCCTTAAACTGAAGAAAAGCCAGCAGCAGCCTTCATTTTAGGGAAGCAATTAAGCTAAGTGAATAGAGAGCTGGTCTGTGACTCTGGTGACTGGGAGATCATGTTACCCTCCTGCCACAGGCTCTTGGGCTGCTTTCAATCACTTCACCCCTCTGTTATGCAGTCTTGCCTTTTGCCAAACAGGGACAGAGCCAACTGTAGGCTACCTATGCCCATTCATAAAGGCCTTTTGCTTGAGCAAGCATTTTGCATATAAAAGGATGCATTTCTTGTTTCAGCTTTTAGAATGATGCCAAAGGGAACTGTGACATCCCCTGCACGTAAGTAGTAAGGTAAAGAGCTTTATAGTATTAAGCAACAGAAGAAAATTGCCTTAGTCTTCACAACTCCCTACATATGTTTTTTCTCTCACACATGCCCTACATTGATTTTGCAGAGCATGTGTATTTGCAAAAGTTGATCCTGAAGGAGGCTAATGAAACTTTTTGTAGCAGTTTTAGGCTAGTCATTAAAGCGCCATACTTACACTAGGCACCATTTATTGTTTTTATTACTGGTATTATTGGTTTCCAAAACTAAAGATAGGCCCAGCTCAGCCCATGAAAAATTTAAGGTGCTTCACAAATAATAGGTAACTATGACTATCTTCATTTACTCTGGCTACAAAAGCCAGAATTTTTGTCTTCTGTTGCCCAAGACATGTGGCAGGCAGATCGTCTACAATGTAAAGTTGTAGAAAAGGAGAGTAAGAAAAAAAAAAGAATTTGGTCTCCGTTTTCACCAATATCCTTCTCGTATTCCCCTAACATTTTACTTTGCTTATTTAGAATCTCTTTTCCTTACAAAATCCAGTACTTCCTTATACTTCTTGTTCCTAGCTTATAGCTGTACAGCACAACTGTAGGGCACAGCCAGTGAATCATAATAGCAAATGTCAACAGGAAAAGTTCTCCAATAGCCCATTAGCTGTTTGAGTTCATATTTATTATTTACTGAGTGACTATGAATAATGAGAAAATTGGCATAAATCATTAGATACTTGTGGCTAATTCTCTAGTAAAAAGGGAAAATCGGTTAAAGTAATTACATGATTTATTTGCAAGGAAAAATTTCCCTCCTTCTCATTAGTATTATATAGGGCAGACAGCGCTAGCAAGAGGAATACAAGTGGTGCAAATCAGTTAAGGTTGCAAAAAATGGAAACTCTGAAATGACAGGTGAGTGAAAGAGATTCTTACAAAATGCCTCTATGGATCTGTCTACCCTAGTATCTATGATATAGAACTATACAAGCATCAGCAAGTTAGACAGTGTTGGAGATAGATAGTTACCCCAAGTTGTGCTTGCAGCCAGTATTTAGGGGAGTAAATTGGATTAGATAAATCCCATTCTACCTGAATAGGGCTAATTTTTGGACTGCCCTGCCCAATTTGCATATGAGTTTAGGCGTAATCCTTTTCTCAAGCGGCACTAGATCAGGTTAGTAGTGTCACTGATGCAGAAAGTGCGCAAGTCTGTGAGTCTTTTAGGCGCATCTTCCTAAAGGTAAGTTAGAGCTTTGTAGCTATTACACAAAATGGACAGAGGAATCAGAAGGTCTACAGGCAAAAGAAAATACCCATTCCTAGCATGCAGACTGCAAACAATCCAAGTTGCCTATCCTAAAACAGAATAACATACAGCTGTTTTCAATTAGTTTTGTAGAGCCCATGCAGTGAAGGCTCTTCATGCATTAACTTGAACAGTTCTCTTAATCAAATTCCTTTTAGGTTTAGTCTCCAAGATTATGTAAGAGCAGATTGTGTCCCAGAGTGTTTTTATGTTTTCTCCTTAGAGACAATATATGGTATCAGGAGTCAATGTTATCAAGACATTGCTATTATCCAAAATCTTATACCTGTGAAAAAGTCATACTCTGTGTCATGTTTAATTAGATCTAAATTTTGATTCACTGCAAAGTCAAAGGCCTCCCAAATTAATGCAGCTATCTGAATGTTTTTAGGCAAGAGCCTATTAACGCTGAAACATTTTTTTACAAAAACATGTTATAACTAAAGCTCATGATGGAAGTAATTTGTAATATTCAATGACCTCATTTTATACTGTTTGGCTCACTACAAGCTAATGCATATGATGCCATGTGAAATTCTCAGACAAGCCTGTCTGCAGGACTTATGGGAGCCATAAATGGATTAAACCTCTCACTCCCTGCTTTGGCAAGTGATCAGTTACATTTAAGTAAAGGTCAGTCTGTCTTTACAAAGAAAACACTGAAAGCAAGCTTCATAGCTTTCCCTA